GCCCTCCACGCGTATGTACATTTTGATACAACGGGGGCGATGTTAACTCGAAAACCCAATGGCGAAAACCCAATGTAAAAATTCATTCTCCGATCGGAAGAGGCGATCATCTGAATGTGGAATATACAAAACGCATATACACCATGCAGCGCGCGCGCGGGCGGGTCACCCGCGCGCGCGCCGCCCTCCACGCGCATGTAAATGTTGATACAACAGGGGCGATGTTAACTCGAAAACCCAATGGTGAAAACCCAATGTAAAACTTCATTCTCTGATCTCATCAATGTGGAATATACAACTTCGCATATACACCATGCAGCGCGCGCGCCGCCCTCCGCGCCCTCGTATACATATTGATATACAACAAGAGCGATGTTAACTCGAAAACCCAATGGTGAAAACCCAATGCAAAAATTCATTCTCTGATCGGAAGAGGCGATCATCTGAATGTGGAATATTCAAAACGCATATACACCATGCAGCGCGCGCGCGGGCGGGTCACCCGCGCGCGCGCCGCCCTCCACGCGCATGTACAGTTTGATATACAACAGGGGCGATGTTAACTCGAAAACCCAATGGTGAAAACCCAATGTAAAACTTCATTCTCTGATCTCATCTGAATGTGGAATATACAAATTCGAATATGCACCATGCAGCGCGCGCGCCGCCCTCCACTCAACTTTCTTCCACCTACTCTCCTCCCTCTTCCTCATACGCCACCTCCTTTAACCCACTCTCTCCCCTTCGTGGCACACTCCACCCCCCGTTCCAGCAATACTACGCCACCCCCACCCCCAGCCCTATCCCACCTGCGACTTTATCTTCCTTTTCGACAGCCCTCCATCATGACTCCTTCCTTACCTTTCCCCCCCTCCTATACAAGAATTCCAACACATCCCACCTCGACCGTCCACAACATTGGCCTTCCCTTTACCCCCCCTTACATCCCCGTTAGCTTGGGACCCCCCTGTTTTGGTGGTCTCACCGCTACCCCCACCGCCACCAACCCACTGGCCCATCCCACCACCTTTCCTCAGGTTTATTCTTTTGACATTACACCCTTCTTCGGCTCCTCTCGCGATCTTTCCCGTACCACTCCCCCACCCTCCCCCCTCTCGCAATACTCCGCGCCCTCGTATACATATGGATATACAACGGGAGCGATGTTAACTCGAAAACCCAATGGTGAAAACCCAATGTAAACATTCATTCTCTGATCGGAACGGGCGATTATCTGAACGTGGAATGCGCATGCGCCAACATAATGCGGCGGCATCGGATTATTGCCCATGCGGTCGTTCAACGCGCGATCCAACAAAAAAAAACAAGACATACGCAACAAAAGCAAGACATGATACAGAAAAACAAGACATGCCAAACAAAACAAGACAACGTCAACAACATCACAGCATGGCGCGATTTTCAAGACAAAACAGCAGTCTTGAAAAAAATGCAGCTGGAGGATGTCAGGGTTGATAGGGCGCCTGCGGCGCGGAGCATTGCACGCTGCTATCCAATGGCCCGCGGCCTCCGTCACTCGCGCTTGCAGCGCGAGACGCTGCTTCAACGGGTACGTGGCAATCTGCATCGCCGCTCAAAAACCTGCCCTGCGGGCTGCCCCCTGCGGGGAGAGGAGGGAGGCGCGGAAGACGAGGAGGAGCAGGCAGAGGGAGAGGGAGGGGGAAGGAGGGGTGTGCTCGTTCACCTTGAAAAGGCGCCTGCGGCGCAGAGCATTGCACAGAGCTATCCGGCGGCCTGCGGCCCCCATCACTCGCGCGCGCAACGCGCGTCCCTGCTTCACCGGGTACATGGCGATCTGCGTCGCCGCGCCCTGCGGGCGCTCACCACTGCTTCCCCTTGCCGTCTCCCTCGGGGCCGGCCCGCAAGCGCGGGGGCCCGCGCGCCGGGGTCGGGGGCGGCGGCGGGGGCGGCGCCACCGCCGCGTGTCCGCGCGCTGGCTGGCTCGCGTGGCCCTGCGGGCCCCTGCTGGCGCCCGAACCGCCGCGGCCCGAGCTGTCGCCGGCCTGCTTCGCCCTGCTGCACTGGTCCTTGACGTCGGTGCGCAGGCCGTGGTCGATCTTCTCGAAGCTGGCGTCCGGGTCCACCGAGGGGTCCTTGTTCTCGATCTGCGCGCCGAGGCGGAGCCATTCCTGGCGGTCGTACTCGTACGCGACCGTGACCCCGAGCTCCTGCGCCATGTGGCACAGGTCGAGGAAGTGCCGCAGCAACCGCTCGAAGGTGACGGCCTCGCTGTTGAGGTCCGCCTGGAGCGCCAGCTGGGACAGCGCCCGGGCCCACCAGCAACTGGTGAAGTGGGCGAACGACTGGAACGCCTGACCCTTCTGCGGAGGGCGCAAAGTGGCGTCCGACGCCCTCTTCAGCGGTTCGAAGTCTTTCTGCAGCTCGCCGGCGACCCAAGGGAGCCGCCCGTGGCCAGCCTTGCGGCGGCTGCGCCGGAGCAAAGGCTGAAGGAGAGCGGACTGCGGCAGGTGCTCCACCGGCAAGCCGTTGAGCCCGTAGCGCTTCAGCCCCTTGCACACGTTCACCGAAGTGGAGGCCTTGTCGTCTGAGTCGGAGGACACCGAGCGGTCCCCGCGCTGCCTGGCCGCGCCGGCCCGCGCCCTACGGGCGATGGCCCGGAGTGCGGCGACGGACTCCGCCTGGAAGTCGGGGCCTGCCGCGGCAGCGCTCGAGCCGTTGCCGCCGCCGGCCGCGGCCTGCTGCACCTTCTCTGCCACGGCCGAAGCCAGCAGGAAGGCCCGGTAATCCAACTCAAGAGTGAGCGGGTCACGGCACGCCGTCTCGAAGATCGGGCGGGTCGCAAACTTGAACTGCCACGCCTCGTGGAGGCCAGCATCTTCAAGAAGACCAGCGACCCTGAGAAACTCCTGCTCCGAGACGCCCTGCGGGCTAAAGGCACGGAGCAGGTCCTCTGAGTTCCTTCCCGACGCCGTACGGCGGGGCTCTTCTGGAGGCTCGAAGCCCTCCGGACTGAGTGAGCCAGAACGCCCCCTCGCGGGGGCGGCGGGGGCAGCGGCTGCGGGGCTGCGGAAGGGGCGGCGGCGCCGCGAGCGGGAGCGCCGGGCGGAGGGGCTCCCAGCCGGCTCCCGGCCAGCGTCGCCCGGGGGCGGCATCGCGCGCCGGGCGGTGAGGGGGAGCGTAACGAAATCGAGGGATGAAACCCCGACTCCCTGCTGGGCTGTAGGGGCCCTTCGGGCCCAACAGCTGCAAGCGAACGCGCGCACGTGGCAGCCACAGGATCGGAAGTCCCGGGCACGGGACCCCAACCAGATCCCTTCCAAATGAATCGAGTTTCGAAAACCAGCAAACCCGACCTCCTTATCAGCCCGAGGGGACAACATCAAGTAAGGCCACAATTGAATCAATATGAACAGCGGCCCTTCCCAACGAATTTTCCGAGACACTAAACCAGTTTACGTCTGCAGAAAAGTGAAGGGAGGTGGCTGGGCCCGCTGCGGCGCTCGAGCTTCCGACTTGGACACTTTGCTTGTGTGTCCTCGCCCTCCCTCATCCCTTCCTCTCCTCCTCCTCCCACTTCCCCCCTCCTCCTCCCACCTCCTCCCTCCTCCTCCTTCCTCGTTCGTCCGTCCGCCTCCCTCCTCTCTCCTTCCTCCTCCCTCATCCTCCTTCTCCTTTTCCTTCCTCCTCCCCCCGTCTCTTCCCTGATTATTCCTCCTCTCTCCCCCCCTGCGTCCCCTCTGTTCTCCTCCCACCTCCTCTTGCCTCTTCCCTCATCCTTCCCCTCTTCATCCTGGGAAGACCCCCTCTCCCCCGTAGAATCATAGCATTGGTCTGCAGATCCACACTTCCGTGGATCGCGTGATGCTTCACTTGCGGTGCTCCGCGGATCCCATTTCCCCTGGGTCCCAGATGTTAATTATTATTACTATTATATATTTATTCCCGGGAAATAAATGGATCCATCGTTTTTTTTCACACACAGGAAATTGGATCCGCGCAACACAGAAATAGGATCCACGAAACTCTCCCACACCCGAAAAGGGATCCAATTGGATCCATTGATGTTGTCATATTGTTGGTCCAAGAGGAAAAACTTTCGGCCTGGGGATGTAACTGACGACGATGAAGATGTACATGATGACGATGATGATGATTATGAGTATGATGATGATGTTGATGATGTTGATGATGATGTTGATGAGGATGCAGGCATAGATAAACAAAAGCGCCCCCCCCCCCAGTGCTCACCGCCGGCCAAGGACGTTAATGATCTGAATAAAACGTGTGAAGGAGAGGGGGTGAGGGCGGGGTGTCCGGAGAGAATGAAACCCGAGTTAGGATGTAGGGAGCAATAACCTCACTTAGGATGTGAGGGGAGAAACCAGTGTTTGAAATCCGGTGTGGAACAACACGCGGAGAGGACCGACCATCTTCCAAACAGGGTCAGGGGAGAAAGGCGAGTAGTACTCAGAATGTGCACTTGGAAGAAAGGGGGGGGCAGTGAGGCAGTGACGAGCCGAGGCATTCAACAAGGTGCAGCAGGAAAGCGGCAACGGCAGCCGACTTGGATGGAGAGACAAGGCAGCGCGAGGACCGCACGAGCACAGTGTATTCTGAATCGAAGTATGCCTGCGTTGGTCTCCCCAATATCCCTTGAGCATCATTAAGGAAGTCCCAAAATGGCCACGGAGGAGCCCTATAAGCTAGAACGACGGGCCAAGATGGCTCCCCAGACGGCCACAGGCCGCCCCAAGGGGGCTCCAAGACGGCCGCCAACCTCGTCCAGCCAGCCCAAAGACGCTCCTGTCGAACCCCCAGAACGGTTCGGTAAACCCGTCGCGCTCAGAAAACGGCCTCAAGTTTACCAACAGACCCCCAGGGGGTCTTCCAGAAGCCCCCAAGAGGCGCCCGAGGTACCAAAGAGGGTCCCAAGCTGGCCCAAAGAAGCCCCAAAAGCCTCCAAAAAGCATCCAAAAGCAAAAGCAAACAAAAGTCCAAGAATACGGCGAACCCGCACTTCAAAATCGCACCCATGCTTCCCAAACTGCTCCTAGATGGTTCAATTGAACCTCTTCGAAAACGATCGTTCGAACCATCATCCCTCCATGGATGAATGAACACTGTGCTTGCACTGCGGCAGAACTGCCGCAGGCACCTGGATAGAACTTGTTCAACCTGTTCTTGGCCCACAGCAGGATCTCCTTGGAGGCCTTGTTGTTCTGCATGAGCTCCTTGAACTCGGCGTTCTCCTCCTGACGAAGCTTGGTGGCCTCCGCGACCGACTTGTCCAGCGCGCCGATGGCGGCCTTCAGGTCGGCGATCTCTTGGGTCCAGGTGGCGATCGCCGCCTTGAGGTCCTCGATGGCCGTGCTGGACACCTCGATGCCCCGCTCGAGCTCCTTCTTCTGGTCCTCGGACTTGTCCAGCTCCGTCTCGCAATACAGCTTCTTGTTGTCGTCGTCAGCCTGCTCTTTCTTGAGATTCACCATCATCTCATCGATTAGTTTGATGACCTTCTCGAAGCCGGCCGTCTTGCCCTGCATGGCCAGCAGCACGAGGTCGATCTCCGGGCCGCGGCTGGGCGCGGAGCGCAGCAGCCGGAGCGCCTGGGCACGCAGTGTGGCGAGCCCCTGCTGGACCTGCACGAAGCTGGACGAGGCGGAGGGCAGCGTCTTCTTGAACAGCTCCTGGGGGGTAGAGCCAAGCTGTGAGGACACCGCGCAACTCGAGGAGCTGCGGCGACCGTTGCTCAGGCGCAGTCCTCCCTCTCGGCCCCACACGTAAGGTCAGGGCATGGCATCCCATGCAAATGCGTCATATGGTGTACCCGGCCCGTCATTGCACTGAACTGCACAACAAATCCACACCGCAAAATTGCCCAACACACACACATGCCACACGCAAACAGCTCCTGGGGGAAGGCGGGGGCCCTCCGGGCGGCAGGTGGCCCGGAGCTGTGCCCAGAGACCAATAACTCATCCCGATGCGCCTCAACCACAAGGCCAGATCGGACCGCCCTTCCAGACATCATGCGTCGTGCTGTTTTCACTGAGTTGTTTCTGCTGGTGGTCACGGGGCCCAGTGATGGGCCCCTGGAGGCCGACAGTTGTCGTGCACATCGGTTCTTACGACACGAGCGGATGCCAGGTCTGCCAACCACGCGATGCGACAGTGGGCATGGTGCGCGGGCGTCAAGCGGACGCCACCCCTGACAGACAAAGGCCACGCCACCGCGCTAAGTCAAGGACAGCAAGCTGCCTTCTCGATGTCAGGCAGACGCTGGTTTTAATAACAGTTGAGCACAAGACGGTCGAATAGACACGAAAGCGCGCGAGTATGATCGATTTCAGCAAGTGTGTCGCCCCTCCCCCGTGCCCCCTCGTCATGGTCCGAAATCCAACGGATATCTAAATGTCAAGGCCACAGAATCGCCTCAAGGCCGAAAGCGCCGATGCGCGGAATCCATGGGCCACTACTCTGCTGTTGGCAATGCTTCGGCCTCCGAATGGCCTCCAAAATGGCAGTGTGTGTCCGCCGCAACCGCCATCTGTTCCCAACACAGCACAGCGCAAACAAGTTGACCTACAGTCAAACCGTGCAGTAAGGATGCGCGATAAGGATGCAAGGGCCTTGGACGCCCATTTCGAAGCTTTTCGAGCGGGGCACGGCCAGCGAAAGCGGCGAAGGATGGACCGAGGAAGCAAGGATGCAAGGGTTCCCTTGGGAAAGTTACCGCTGCACCTGCTCCCCACCTCCTAAGTGGGGTTACTTTTACTCTAGGCTTAGGTCGGGCCTGTCACACTACAGGGGGATGTTGGACGAAAAAATAAAACAAATACTCAAAATAATGCCCAAAAGATGCCCAAAAATACCAGAAAAATAGTCCCCAGACTATGTTTGACTATTTTTGAATATCCATCCTGTAGAGGGGCAGGCCCGACTTAACTCTAGGCACCCCCGCGCAAGAAGAAGCATCCATCCTGGGGAACAGGCTGGTGGGGACACGGCAGGGCGTGCAGAACTTGGGAAGCCCGCCCCAGCCCAAGACACCATTTTGCCAAGTGGAGGGGCGCTGGTTTCCAAATGGCTGTCCGCCGACCCCAGCTTGCCCGGGCTGGGGAGGCGTGTGAGATGATTGGCTGTTCCCCTCCTCCTGGTTCCCCCTCCCGGGGGCCCAAAATGGCGCTTGAGGGGGGTGGGGGGCAGGGGGCAGAGATACGCAGCATTCGCACTTACCGTCTACACATATGGAAACACATGAAAACACAAGGCGTATACAGTGAACAAGCATACAGAAAAGCGTAGCCAACAAACAACTGCACCAAGACGTCCCAAAGTGGCTGTGGAGCCTCTCGAATCTATCCCCGAGAGGCCCAACAGTCTTCAAAACTCCCGCGGTGTTCCAATGTCGTATGCGTTCTTGTCATCCGGCTTCCGACGGGCTCCTGATACCTCAAGATGGCTCCAAGGTCGCCGATGAAAGTGCCAAAGAAAACCGAAAGAGGAGGCCAGAATTGCTCCAAGACGGCCTCGAAGGCCCCTCAAGCACCCCAAGAGCGTCCCAACAGGGCCAAAAAGCGACGAATGTTCGGGCTCCAGGTGGGAGACCCCCATTTAGGATCCTCCCTTTGTGGATCGACCACCTCCAGGATGGCTCCAAGACGGCCCCCACGGGCTCAAAGAGAGCCCCAACATAAAATCCGAGCGGGCTTGAAATGCTCTCAAACGGGCCCGAAGAGACGGGCCCCAGAGGCATCTAAGTTCAGCGTTGTGGGCCTTTGTGTTTTACTGTATGCTTTTCTTCCCTGCTCCCCACTGATCTACTGTGCGTCATTCCTGCATGAGCTGCTGGGCATGCCGGAAGCGGAATCCATGACGTTCGCCCATCCACCACTCGGGGCCCAGAGGACTGGCGGAAACCTCTTGAGCAAATCCCCAATCGGGGAGAGGATCGGTGAGAGGGGCCGGAATTCGGGTGGTGAGCTCCAGCGCGTCGTCGGCGTTCAAAGCCTCAATGGTCTCCGACAGCGCCACCAGCTCATCGGCGCGCACCTTGCAGCGCGCCTCCCACTCGGCCTCCTTGGTGGCGCAGCCCTTCTTTAGCTCGGCAAGGTACTGGGTGTCCTCCTCCAGCGTGTCCTTGGTCTCCTCGAGGTCGTTGGCGTCGTCGCTGAGCATCACGTTCACCTCCCCGAGGCGCGTCATCTCCTCCTCGATCTGCGCGGTGAGCGTGTTGACCTCCTTCGTCTTCGCCGCCATCATCTGATCGTAGGTGGCCTGCGCCTCGGCCTCCTCCTTCTGGGCGTCCGACAAAGTGGCGGCCATCTCATCGCTCATCTCCTTCAGGATGCCGACGATCTGGCCGCTCTTGGGGGCGTAGCCGCTGGAGCCAGAGAGGAAGGACAGCAGGGCCTGGCGATCAGAGTCTGACATAGTCGCCTTCTCCATGGCGTACTGGCGCAACATGTTCGCACCCGACGTCTGCAGGAAGGACCCCGACATACCATTCTCGATGGCCTTGACGGCAGCCGCGATGGCGCTGATGTTGACGTCGCTGTCCGATCTGAACTTGAGGGCTGCCTTGCGCTCGGTGTCTCTCAGCGCGGTGGCCTTGCTCATCGTTTCCTTCGCCTCGGCGCGGCTGGCGGTGTGCTCCTTCAGAGCGGCCTCGGTGGCCACCTTCTTCTCGGACAGCTCCTTGATAGAACTGTCCAGGGCATCGATCTTGGCCTGGGAGGCTGCGATGCTCTGGTCCAGGGTGGATACGCCCGTTTTACAATAGCACATGAATCCAACCAGCTCTCTGAGCGCAGGAGGTATAGCGAGTTTCCTCTTCCCTCTTCCTGAGCCCCTTCTACACCTTCTCCGGGGAGGGGGCTATCATGCCCCCCCGCCGACCCCATCCCAGATGTATGGACGGGGGGAGACCGACGGCTAGAACGTCCAAGACGCTCGAGGTAGCTCCAAGAGAGCCCCAGATGCCCCACGATGCCCTGCAAGAGGGCTCCAGATAGTCGAAGATGGCTCACGGACATCCCTCCGAGAGGCCTCAAAACGCCCCCAATACAGCCCCATGTGCCCACAGAGACCCTCCTACAGGCCAGACTCGTCCCAACACTTAGGGCCTCTGAGGCCTGAAGATGGCCGCAGAGGGCCCCACGAGGAGCCCAAGAGGTTCCCGAGACCGCCCATGAGGCCCACAAGAGGCCCCAAAGATCCCCCGAGGAAGCATGCGTTCTGCCTCAGATGGGCAGGGAGGCATGCGTTCTGCCCCGTCCCTTTTGAGCCAGAAGGCCCGAGATCACACCACGACCCCCCAAAAGAACCCAAGAGAGCGCCAACAGGGCCCCGAGGGAGCCCCAAGAGGGCCCTTAAGATGGCTTCAATCATACCCCAAGATGTCCCCACGAGTCCCCCCATAAACTGTGACAGCAGAGGTCCCTCGCAGGTCGTCGCCTCCTCCTCCTCCTCCTCCTCCTCCTCCTCCTCCTCCTCCTCCTCTGCATTCTCCTCCCCTCCTCCACCTCCCACTCCTCCTCCTCCTCCTCCTCCTCCTCCTCCTCCTCCTTCCTCCTCCTTCCTCCTCCTTCTCCTCCTGGTCCTCCTCCTCCTAGTCCTTCTTGTTATTCCCTCATCCCCCTTCCCTCCGTCAACCTCCTCGTCCAAGAAGCAGCTCTCATGGGTATCGCTTCTGGATGGGCTAGTGTGGAGACGCGCGCGAAGCGTGAAGAATTCCTTAAAAGCCTTCTCCTCAGCCACCCCCTCGTCCGAGACCTGCTTCTTCATGTCCTGCAGCATCGTCACCACTTTCCTGATGGGGTTCGCCCGGTGTTGGGCCTCCTGCGAGAGCTCCGCGGCCCTGCAGGGCACGGCGAGGAAGCACAGCGCGCCCGCGAGCACGCGGGCCGACATTGCCGCAGCAGTCTGGCGAAAACGAGCTGCGCGGGGGCTTCGTTGGTCGGCTTTCTGAAGGCGCAGGGCACCTGAACCGTCATGCACCCATTGCAGTCGTCACACGGCTCCTCCTACTCCTCATGCTCCTCCTCTTCTTTTTCTTCTTCTTCTTCTTCTTCTTCTTCTTTCTACTATGCCCAGAGGCCAACACAGAACACAGCCAGCGATACCTTATACGAGATCCGAGGGTAGCAAGGGCGAGAGAAGAGAGACTGGGAAACTGACAATCAAGCGGCCCACTACACATGAACGTACGTTCGCATGCCAATCCGCCGACCCCTTGGGGTCATCGGCGTGTGAGATGCTTCCCCCATCCGCAAACGCCTCCTCCCGCGGCCCGGTGCGGTCGGTGTGGAGGGGGGTGGTCCGGCCGGCCCCGGCTGAACGCGTCACGGGCCTCACGACGGGCCATGAGGGCCCCGAGAGGCCCACAAGATGGTCCAAGAAGGCCCCGAGTCGCCGATGGATCGTTCCAAAACGCCCAGGACGGCCCCCAGACGGCCCAAGAGGCCCCCGAGACGCCCCAGGAGGCCCCTAAGAGGCGTCCCAAGAGGGCCCCCAGAAGCAAAAATCGCTCCATTCCCTGAAAGAAACGTATGATTTTAGCGCACTCGCCTCTTGGGATTTGGCAACGTCCCAGACGGCCCAAGAGGCCTCCAAGATCCCAAGATCACCCCAAGACGGCCCAGGAAGCCCCCAAGAAGGCTCCAAGACGGCCGAAGAGGGCCCCAAGACAACCCAAGAGGCCCCCAAAACGGCTCCAGGAGGGGGCCCAGGCGGGGGACCCGAACGGAAATGTCGGGCCCTCGGCCCCAAGATGTCTCCAGGAGGCCCCAAGAGGTACCCAAGAAGCCCCCAAGAGGCTCCAAGAGGCCCACCAGAGGCCCAAAAGAGGCCCCAAGAGGCCCCAAAACGGCCCCCAAAAAGCTTCAAAAGTGCTGCCAGGAGGCACCCGAGAGACCTACCAGGGGCCCCCCAAGGAGTCGGCGGAGCGGCGTAAGCCCAAGAATCAACTCCCACGTTCCCCCCACACACACCACACACACACCACACACACACACACACATCGCCAAAGGATAGCACCCGCACGCACACAGACGACGACCAGGCATACGCGTGCAGTGACGATCGGTGAAGGACAGCACCCTCGGGACTGGTATGACGACAGGCAGACAGAGGACGGCAACAACAGAAGGGGTAGTGTTCCTGCGAACTGCACTGCCGTCTGCTTGACCGCGGCAAGACCGGCGAGAGGCCGGCGTGTGCCGCGCAGGGCCCGCGCGCGCAAACTGTGCCGCAGCATCCCCGAGGCCAGCGGCCAAGCCCTGGCGAGCGACCAAAGGACGCAGCCGGCCAGGGTGGCGACAGGCAGACAGAGGACGGCAACAGCAAAGGGGGTAATGTTTCTGTGAACTACACTGCCATCTATTTGACCGCGGCCAGACTGGCGATAGACCGGCATATGCCGCGCAGGCCCCGCGCGCAAACTGTGCCGCGACATCCTTGAGGCCAACGGCCAAACCCTGGCGAACGACAGAGGACGCAGCCAAGGTGGCTCATGCGCCGCGGAGCGCCACGCGCTTCGTCTGGAGGAGGGAGTAGTCCGCACCGCTCAGCACGGCCTTCGCCTTGTCCAGGGACTCAATCTCCTCGGTTCGCGCCGCCTTGCGCACGTCGAAGTACTTGATCAGCCAGTCGCACTCGGCGTGCAGGTTGCCGATGACCTGCGTCGTCTCCATCAGCTGAACGGACAAGTCCTTCTTGTTCGTTTCCTCGTTCTGCAGGGACTCCTCGCCGTGGGCCTTGGCCATCGTCTTCTCAGTGAGCGCCTTGGAGTCTGCCGCGCGCTTGGCGCCCGCATCTGCCATCAAGACTTCGTAGTCCGCCTGGGCGTCCTTCTCCTCGGTCTCCGCCTCGGTGGTAGTCATGTCGATATCGTTGATGATCTTGTCGAGCATGCTCACCACGACCCCGGTCTCCTGACCCTTCTTCGAGTAGGCGTCAAACGTCGCGGGCGGCGGGGGCGGCGCGACGCCGTCCACGCTCCTGTGCGCACGGATCTGCACAAACGCGGCGGCGCTCTCCGCCTTGTACAGCTTGGGGTTATCCGCGGCCGCGTCCTCGGCGCGTTGGGGCGCGTCACCATGCCTGGGAACTGCCCGGCAGGGCTCCTGCTGTTCTCCAAGGGCGAACCCCTGTCGCCACGGGGGGGGTCGAGCTCGACCCCTTGCAGTTCTGCTATCCAATCTTCTGTTGGGTTTCGAGGTGGGCCCCAGGACTGCCCAGCATCGCCCCGAAACGAGTCCACCATCTCCAAGACCAGCCCAAAACAGCCCAAGCGACCCCTGAAAGGCACCAGAAGCGCCCATGCACCTCTCCTGCCACGTCCTGCTAAGGGGGACTGGTCCTGCCGGTGTTGTTGTCAATTAGCACGCACATATACACAATGACACCGGAGAAAAAACTCAATCAGATTTTTGTTGGGCTATGAGGCTGTAGGGCTATAAAGCTATATGGTTATGAGGCTGTAGGGCTATAGGGCTATTGGGCTATAAGGCTATAAGGCTGTAGAGCTATAGGGCTATAGGGCTATAAGGCTATGGGGCTATAGGGTTATAGGGCTATAGGGCTATAGGGCTATAGAGGGCTATAGGGCTATGGGGCTATAAAACTATAGGGCTATTGGGCTATATGCTATTGGGCTATTGGGCACCCCGGGCATCCGGGCACCCGTGCACCCGGGCCCGGCCACCGAGATAGGCGACCAACCTCACCGACCACCAGGGCACCCGGGCACCGCCGGGCACCCGGGCACCCGGGCACCCGGGCACCCGGGCCCGGGCACCGAAATCGGCGACCCACCTCACCTAAACCTTTAACCGCTAGGACCCCTACAGAGGCAAGCTCTGATTGGGGAATCTCACACACACACGCACACGACACACGCACCCATTCGCCCACACACTCACTCACACACCCATTTCCGCGCGCGCAAACACAGAAACACACACGCACTTCTTGGCGGTCGCGACCTCGCGCGCGTCGACGAGGCGACACACGCCGAACACACACACACACACACACACACACACACACACACGCACACACACAAACACAAGCACAGACACAAACACAAAGTCAAACACAAACACAAGCACAAGCACAAACACAATGACTATCACAATGACTATCACAAGCACAAGCACAAACACAAGCACAAACACACACACACAACAAACACAACGCACACACACAAACACAAACACCAACTCACAAACACAAACATACAAACACACAAACACCAAAACACAAACACACAAACACACACACACACACATACAGACAAACACGTTGTTAGCGTCGCGCCCACGCGCGCGGCGGAACGGCGTAGGCTAAGTCAGCCGGAGGCGCGCGGGCCGCGCCAACTCACAGAGAATGGCAAATGTGGATCCACACATAGGGGATCGACAAAAAAACATTCGCGAGAGGAGTACGGAAGGGGGGGGGCAAGCTAGGCGCGCTCGCGCCATGTCTGACATCCTAACCCCTCCCACCCATCCCTTCCCATTGCGCTGATGTGTTCTTCATCAGCCGACGACTGTCATAGCGGACCTGTAATTCCAAGCGGGACCCCATCGTGTTATGCGCAACTGGGTACTGTAGAACAAAAGTTGCGTACATCGGAGGAAGTGGCAGAGGAGCAGGAGGATGAGCAGGACGAAAACAGTTGATGAACATGGAAAGCCAAAAACACCAGCTGCGGGGGCTGAAGCAGACGGAACGGGAGGAGCAGGAGGACCAGGGGGAGGCGGCGATGGGGAAAATAATGCGGCGACAATCACAAGGAAGGGCACGGATCCAGATAAGTGGCCCGCGTTGGGGCGAGAGTGACATTCTGAACGACGGGATGAAACCGCCGATCCTCCAAGAAAACCACGCGGCAAAATACTTGCAATTTCGGAAATCAAACGGATCATAAAATAATCATGGCGAAAGAGGCAAAGGCCCAACCATATGCACTTGCGGATGCGCGCTTGTAGCGTCGTTCCGAATATCGCCCTCGGTAGATCCCATTATGGGGCCATGAAGCGGGTGAGTGGTGCGCAGAAATGAAGCGGTGCGGCCACGCGGGCGATGCCCTGGCGCTTGAGAGAAAGCCCCCATACGGGGCCACGAACCGCGTGAGGGGTGTACCGAAACGGGGCGATGCCGCCACGCGGGCGCTGCCACTGGGGCCTTCGGTGGAGCCCCTTTTATAAGACCACGAAACATGGCCTGCGGGCCCAGACGCCGGGGCCTTCGGCGGGGCTTCGCATTGGGCCGCGAAGAGCGCGGAGAGCGTGCCAACATGGGCGGGGCGGCTGCATGTGGATGGCCACTGGGGCCATCCTTGGAGCTCCCTTTGGGGCCTCAAAGCGTGCGAAGAATGTGCCAGAATTTAGAATGAGCGGCGCGGCCGCATGCCACTATTCTCTGCTTTTGCGGAACACCACGGGATGTCAACCCCCCCAACGCTACGCCGTTGCGAGCGCGGCGCAGCATCGAGCATCGCCCGGCCAGCTCCAACGCATGACCCATGAGGGCCCCTTAGGCGAGCAAGAACTCCCGGGGCGCGCCCAGGACCGACCCCACGGCATTCGGCTTCTGCGAGCGAAAGAAACATTCCCAGGCAGGGGCTCGAGCACGGGGGTTACCCCTTCCTGGTACTCCTGAAGAACAATCAACTCTCAGCCGGAAGGGGTGCCAGCGCGCGCCCGCCCCCCCCCCCCATTGGGCAGCCCAGATTGCAAGCGCAATGCGGCAGCACTCTAATAGTGGCTGCACTGACGGCGTGCACTCGCACTGGGCAGTCGCACTCGGGAGTTGCCCTCGGGACTCGCACGAGGGAGTTGCACAAATACTGGAGACTTACCCTGAGGAGCGGCACCAAGGAATTGCGTCAGAAAGAAGGACGTGCA